CAGAGGGAACTGCTGGGGGTTTTGGGGAGCACGCAGGAGGCTTCAATGGCCAAGGTAATGGAGGCTTCCCTTGGGTGTCACTTAAAATCTCGGGGTCAGGGAAACTAATGGACATGAGGATTGTAATTTTTTTTTTCTCTGAATTTGCAAGAAATAAAGGACGATCCAAGCGTCCCAGAAGGCATTCAATTATACATGAGGCCGAGGGCCTCCCTCCTCTGGAGAGGGACGGCCTGGCATCAGCCACCAGCTGCAGTGAGCTGAAATGGTGCCACTGCAATGAGCCTTAAACTTCCCTCTTGTAGACAGGCCGCCTCCACACACCCGCTTCTCACATAGCAGGCTCTATCCCTACGGTCCATCGAGGCGGGCTGCCTTCTTCCCATGTCATTAGCTCTCCACAAGCGTCTAGTGAGCTCTAAAACCTACCACAGGATGGCAAACGTCAGACCCTCCTCCAGTCTCCCAGCACTGCATGCCTTCTGGGGAGTGCTGCCAACCTCACTTCAACTGAAGGGACAGGAGCAGGTGCCCAGATGCTCAGTGACCTAACAGGTCCACCATGCCCAGGGCCTGACCCCACAGCCTAGCGCCCATCCCCCACCTGCCCTGCACTCCAGCCTTTTTCCTCCAATGACAGGGGATGTTCACCTGAGCCACAATCCCATGAGTCTAGTGAGTGGGCCAGGCAAATCCCAGCTGAGTGCCTGTGACTCCACCCTCTTACCTTCCACTCAGGTGACATTACAAGCATAACCTTGAATTTGAGCTAATTTATACATATGCCTCTCCTGGTAACCTGCGGGACAACAGCCCTCACAATCCAGAGGCTGGGGAAGCAGGTTTCAAAACCTCACTTTATTCCAATGTGAAATGAAGACATGATGGTTTAAAAATGAGGAAAAGTTCCTGAGAAGCTGTGGGGGTGCTTCACTTGCCAGCGCATGCCCACTCCCTCTGAAACAAGGTGTCTGGTGACACCATATCCATAAGCAGCTCTCTGCAAAGCCCCATGTAGTGGTCACAGCCAGACAGCCTCCCTCAGGCTCACAGGGCAGCAATGTCCTCCCCCAGTCCAGGCTCCCACAGCAGGCACAGACAGGGGCAGAGAGGCAACAGCCATGGCCCGTGGGGTCCCCTGCCACCCTCAGAGCTAGTCTCTGCAGAAGGTGCTGTGTGGGAAGCAGCGGGGCTCCACAGAGCGGTGACAAGCCCTCCTGTGTCTGTAACCTTTCCCCAGGATCCATGTCAACCCTGGTTCCCCACGCTCCTTACCAACCCCACCCTCCCTGTGTCAGGCAGCTCGGGTTAAAATGGGGAGAATGATACATTCCAACTGTAGATCCCAAGGTTCTGTCCATCTGGGGTACAGGGAGTAGGGAGGCCAGTCAGAGCCTCTGGCAGCACCGCCTGCTGGGCCTGACGGCAGACATGCCAGGGCTGGGCACAGGGACATCTGGGGGACCACCACTGACAAACCTGTCCCTCTCAGCCTGGAGCTATGGCCAGGCCAATCATGACTAATAAAACCACTGCAGCCTTCATCCTGCCACAAAACTAAAGTGCACCCCAACCCCCAGCCCTGCCACAAAGCTCTGGCTCCCCATCCTTTTTGGCTTAAAACTTAGACATTAAGCCAGGTTGGGCCTGAGAGTTGTGGCAGTAAAAGCAGCAGCCACAACGTCAACCATGCAAATGAGCTGAGGAATCCCATCCGCATGTCATCCACTCTGAACTGCCTCAGGGTGATGTACAGGCTGGGAGGGAGAGATCAATACTCGTGGCCATGGACACACTCCACACCCCTGACGTAAGATGGGGAGGCTGAGGGGAATATGGGGAGCCTGAGGGGCCCCACAGCTGGGAACTGAGGACCGTACATGCCATTCACAGGTCTTCAATTAGGCCTTTGCATCGTATATTCACCGAATCAGTGCAAAAGAATCTTTTAGGGGGGTGTGCAGGCTGGGGTCCCAGGAGGATGGTGGGGGTGGAACACGGAAGAGGGGCTCACTTCCTCTAATCTGCGAGCATGCCCCCTTCTCCTGGAGTCTGCATCTCTAACATCAGGGTCCCTGACTATCTCTCTCTCGATCCCTGCAAGCTCGAGGAAAAAGGATCCTTGGCAGCCACAGGGTTGGGAGCTCAGTTCCTCTGGCCCCGCTGGCTCAGACTCAGTGGCCATAGGGTCCCCAGCCCTAGCTCTGTTTTTTTTGTGTTTTTTTTTTTGAGGCAGGATCTCATTCTATCACCCAGGCTGGAGTGCAGTGGCACAATCATGGCTCACTGAAGCCTGGACCTCTCAGGCCCAAGCGATCCCCCCACCTCAGCCTACTAAGTAGCTGGGACTACAGGTCGTGCCACCACAGCAGGCTAATTTTTGCTTTTTGTAAATGGGGTTTCGTCATGTTTCCTAGGCTGGTCTCCAACTCTTGAGCTCAAGTGATCCACCTACCTCGACCTCCCAGAATGCCCTTTCCCTGTTTTTCTGGACTCCTGGAACTAGTGGTGCTGCACCACCTCTGCTTTCAGATTCTCCTAGTCTTCTGGGGGAGTAGAAGGTGGGAGAGGAGGTAGGTGTCAGACTGGGCCAGGGCCCTGGGCTCCCCTCTAGGCTGGTTAAACTCCCACTTGGGACAGATCAAGCTCCGTGCCATATTCGGTGAGACGCGTGGAACAAGTACTTCCCTCCTAAAAGCAGAAAGATCCCTGATTGCTGACAGTCAGGATTCCATGCACTTGATTCGGCCTGGGGCCCAGCTGCCTCTCACCCTAACACCAGGTTCCAGTTGCTGTACTCTGTGGCCTCCCTGCCACCAGATTAGGTGTAGACAATGGGCATGGGACAGGGTTGCTGACACCCCTGGCTGACCAAACCCCTTTCCCACACTGAGGGGAGAAAAGGCAGGAGGTTAGGGGCTCCTGAAGGCAGCACTGCTTGTGACAGCATGGCGGGAGTCCTTAGGGCCTGCTCCTAAGGCACACTTTGCACTGGAACCAGAGGCAGCCGGGGAAGGAATAAAGCCACTCCTTAGGAACTGAAATGCAAGATCACCAAGATACATTGTTAAATGAAGTAAACAATAATAACCTTCATCCGTGGCATGCCACAATTCCAAAGAAAAAAAAGAGGGGGAAAAAGATCACATGGAGTATTTCTGGAAGGATTCACAAAGAACTTCTCATCACTGGCTATACTTTTCAATTTTGAGCCATGTCAGCCTATTACATTTCTTAAAAAACTAAAGGCCAACTTCTAAGTAGGGAGCCATGGAGGGGCCTCAGCTGACAAGAATGAAGAGGACAACACTGATGACCTGGAGCTGCTCCAAGACGCTGGCCATGCTGGGGGCTGTGAACTGAGGGGCCGTGGGGGGATGAGCTGTGAGTGAGGCTCATCCTACCCAGGCCGAGTAGGGGCCCAGCTCCACCCAGGGATATACCTGGAGGGGCACGATGCTGGCGCTGCAGCCCACCGGTATATCCCATTCACGGTGCGCTGCTGGGCCACAGCCTGCTGGGCCGGGCACTTGAGGTTCTCGGAGCTTTGCTTCTTGTGGTTCTCACCCAAAATCAGGGGAGAGAGCAGAGGCAAGAAAGGACTAGCTGCCCACAACCTACAGGCGCATCTCAACCCGCCAGCCCGGCCACAGCCCACCTGGGCCTTATAGATGGCATCAGATTCCTTCTCCTGCTGCAAGCCTGACCAGAACTCAGCTTTGCTCTCACAGACCCAAGCAGCAAGGTGGTGGCTGCCAGATCCCCCCAGACAGGAAGAAGACAGCCAGAGTATGGAGGTGGAGGAGAAGAGGTCCACATTCAGACCAGGACTGTCAACAGAGACAGGAATGCCACTGGCTTCTGGAAAAGAGTTACTTGTGGCGCGGGAAATTTAACATGGTCAACTCCTAAGCACTAAAAACCAGCAGCACTAACACTCAGGGACTCTGACCTTCACAACCCACCCAGCAACTTCCAAACCCTCCTTAGGAGAACAGCACAGCTCAGCTGGGTGGCTGGTTTCACGGCTCACTAACTTACAACCAACACAAAGCTCCAGATTCTGCATCTGGGAGCCTGATAGCAGGTGGGTGGGGGATGGGAAAGGGGCTCTAGTGAGTGTGGCCAGAACAAGCTCTTCTTCACTGTCCAGAGCTTCTCTCTTCAACGACCCAGCCCTAGAACAACCCGGGCTGCCCATTGCCTGCAGCAGGGTGCAGCTGGCTGTAGCCCCAGCCTCAAAGGGCTGCTCCTCAACTATGCTCCACGAAGGCGTCCACCAGCTCCTGGCACAGGCGACAGAACCTATGCCTATGGGTGCAGGGGAAGCTGGCATGGGAGCACTCCTCTGGCAGCTCCTTGTGGGGCACAGGCAGGGAGCTGAGGTCGGGGCAGTGGGCTCAGCAGGTAGAGACTATAGTGGCACCTGTCGTTGCCGGTGATGCCCTTGCCCTCAACCGAGAAGAGCTCCGCCTCTGCGTCGCAGTGGTTGAGCGTGCAGTGGCGCAGGGTCTTGAGCAGTCAACTCATGCTCCAGCAGATCCAGGCAACACGGGGGCCACACCATTGTCTTGCAAAGTCAGTGGAGCCACAGATGACACTCTGCTCCTGGTCCCACTCCAGGATGCCAGGGATGAGGACTGGAACCTGACCTAGTAGCTGCGGTCATCCACCTCTGCCATGTCCAGCGTGTACAGACCCTCCATGTCCACTGCATTGTGCCAGTGCTAACCGTTCAGGTCATTGGTGAACGCTATGGAGGCTGCCACGTCCCCAGCAAAGTCCTTGTAGTGGCCACTAACAACAAAGCCCAGGCTGAAGATGACGTGGCTCCACGTGAACATCTGCAGCGTGGTCTCCTCACTGGGGCTGATGGCCATGACGATGCCTCCCTGACCGACGCCCCATGTGGCTGCCACTCTGAAGTTGCTGGGTACCCGGGAGGGACCAAGGCTGGGAGGGCGAGAGGCCACGCCCACAAAAGCCTCAGGCTACATCCACCTGGCCCAGCTCACCAAGATGGGGGAGGCCAGTTTCCCTCACGTCCCTGCTGTACAGAAGAAAACATTCCAGCAGGAGACAGGTGGGCCTCAGGCTGTGAGGCTGTCACTCACTCACCAGAGGCTTCAGAACCTTAAACATGGCTTTTTCTTGAAGCAGCTGCTCAGGTTGGTTCCTGTAGGGCAGGTCCCTCATCATCTGCAGCTCCACGTTCCAGTACTGGGGCTGCAGAGGGACCAGGGAGGGAGACATGGGCTCAGCCTGTGCACTGCAACCTGCCCTGGGAAGTCCCTTCTCCTCTCTCCCCAGAGACAGCCCCAGACTTCCCAATGAACAGACCCGCGGGGAGCCTCAGGGAAGTGCAGAGAACCCCACCTGGCACCCAGGAAGGAAGGGGGTTCCCAGTGAGGACCGGGCCAGGTCACAGGCCCCTGTGCAGGAATGTGCTCCTCACAGCCCAGCCTCGAGGTGCAGGTGCCTCTCCACACGTGCAGTCCACAGTGTGCTCCGTCACAGGGGCCATCCAGCTGCACACCTGGAATGAGGTGGCCCCTCTCGAACGGGCATACTGGACCCCGTGGCAGGCAGGGGAAAGGCAGATGGGGCCGCCCACCAATCTCAGGACCCTGCCACAGGCTCCTTCTTCATCAAGGTCCTCACCTGCTCCGGGTTTTTCCTGGCCCTGAGATGCTGCCCCGAAAGGCGAGTCAGAAGCACATGGGCGCCGCTCCCAGGGCTGCTCTCGCCAGAGCTGGCTCACAGCTCCCTAGAGGGAGACCTGGAGTCTCTTGCAGTTCCCAGGGGACAGGTGCCAGCCGCTCAAGGCGAGCACTTTCAGGGGCTGCAGGAATGGCCAAGCGTGAATGGGCCAGGCCTCCTGGTGTGTGGCCCTCCACCCGCCCGGGGACCCTCTTCCTTGTTCCTCCCTGGAGTCCCACCTTTTAGTCACCATTCTGGGGCTGCAGGGCACACGGTGGCTGTTCCAGGTTTCCGAGCAGGATGTGCTTGGGTGGTGTGCAGTCGGTGGGGTCCATCTCCAAGCCTTTCTGCTCCTGCCATCTGTGGGACCCGAGGCTGGTGGTCGGCACACGAGCACCCAGGGCCAGCTGCCTCTAACTGTGGCCCTGGTTTGGGTTCCTCAGGCCCAGGCTCCTCCAGGTGGAAAGGCCTGGCCTTGAGCCCCCTTCATCAGCCTCTGACCTCCTTGCTTCTGCCCCTCTGCCCCCTGCCCAATCTCTGGCCCCAATGCCTCTGCACCTCCCAGGCCACTGTCAGTGAAGACGCTCAGGAAGGACAAGGAGCTGCATCAGCTGGATCCAGGCTCCTGAGCAGTCTCAGATGTGGCACTCGTCACCTCAGGCCTCGTGCACTGTGCAGGGCTCTGTCAGAAACAGGAGAGGGGCAGGTGCTCCCAGGCCCCTGCATCCTAGAACAACCCACCCAGCTCAGAAAATAGTTGGCAAGGAAGCTTCATGGATGATTTTAATTTTCAGCTTTAGGCTTCCATTTTCAAATTCCGCTATGGACACATAAGCTATATTTTGGTTTCAATACACACATGTGTTCGCACGCGTACCTACACACACACACAAACACACACACACCCCCTGGCTGGCTGAGGGCAAGAATCCTCGCTTGCAAAGCACCTCCTGCCAGTTGCTTCTGAAGCACACACAGGCCTTGGAGAGCCCACAAAGCCTCCTGCTTTTTGTGTGCTAGTGTGTCGGGTGGGCAGGGCTTTTGGCACTGTGGGGCTTCTGCAGCCTCGCCCAGCTCTCCTGGGGCAGCTTTCACGCAGGGGTGGCCTGAGAACTTTCTAGGGCTGCCAAATTCAACGCCCCCACTGAGTTTCATGGGATTTTAATGGTCATTGTTTTGGGGGAGGGGAGAGGTTGTGATGAACTGTGGGCCCCCTTGAGGTACAGACCTTTTCCACAGTTGCTCTTAATAATCAGGCCCCGGGAACCTGAGTGCTTCCCCAGGGAACTTGAGTCTATGGAAGCTTTTATTTGGCAACCAAGCCAGGCTCACCACACCAGCCGATGGTGCTGCTTGGAGCCGACTTCCCCGCTCAAGGACTGTAAAACTTTTTAGTTTCTTTAGGAGACTAAGCGCTCATCTTTTCAGAATTTAATCGGGCCGATTCCAAGCCCTAGCTTCGTACTGCCTGGCTTTCTTTTCAGAATTTCAACTGTTTTTTCACCCCAGGCCATGAAGTTAGAGATGCAGGTATGATGCCCTGAAGAGCAGACCTGTGCTCCAGTCCCACCTCCACAAGCTCGTCTGTGACACACAGGCCCCAGCTGGGGCAGTGAAGTGTTGCCTGGCCCTGCTCACAGGGGCCCTCCCTGGGCAGGCAGCCCAGCTTCCGGGCCAACCTTCCACCATGTGGAGCACCAAGCCCGCCTGCGGCCCCGCCATGCTGCGCAGCTCTGAGAGGTGGTCCAGCGTGCTGCCACCCGGGTGCAGTGAGAAGTGAGGCGGGGACATGGGTATTCATGGTCCATGAACACCCGGTGGATCTCCAGCACCATCTCCTGCGGGGACACCTGCCAGGGAGAAGGCCCGGACCACCCTGGTGAGAGGCCACATGGTAGGGAGCAGGGTCATACCCCTTTCCCCAGCCCCAAACACCTGGGTCCTGAGAATAAATGTCTGAAATACTCAGTTTCCCACTTTTTGGCTTTTACATTCCAGGCTCTGTCCATATACAGCCTGCCCATTGGCACCTGTGTGCCCAAGTGCAGGACAGAGCCTGGCCCCACTGACTCTTCCTGCAGCCTAAGAGCAACCCCCGAGCAGAGGCGAGGGAGTTGGAAGAAAGGGAAGAAAGACAGGCTTGCTCTTGCCCTTGCCTAGTGCCAAGGGCTGAGCGCCCCAGGGCAAATGGCCTTTTCCTTCCTGAAGGGGTGCTCCAGGGCCCAAGCCTGTGAGCAGAGAGGACATGAGAGGGCCTTGCCCGGCTCCCCACCAAGTTACCAGCCTGCAAGTCCTCCAGGTTTGCTCTGTCCTTGGAGAACACCCAATACCACCCCCCAGGCCCCGGTGACAGATGGTAAAGTCATGGCCCAGAGAGAGGTGACTTGCCTGAGGGCACAGAGCAAGAGGCTGGGGCACCCTGGACCTGACATTACCCACCCGCTCCCACTCCTCTCCCTAAACAGGGCTGCTAGGCCCAGCTGGTAGCTGTCCTCTAGCAATAAGGCAATAACTGAACCCGTACTCCATTCCCAAGTCCACTATGTTAGCAGAGTGACCCCAGGCAGGGCCCAGGGCCCTCCATTTCCTGCCTACAGCACAGGGCCAGGAGGAGCCAGGGCAAGGTTGGGTTTTCCAGCCTCATCCTCCCCAGCAGGCTCAAGCCCTGGCCCCCAGCTCTCCTCCTCCATGGTACCTGCAGGGAGAAGGGTTCGATCTCGGGGCCAGGATCTCCACAGAAAAGCCCAAATCCTGAATAGTGACTTCTATTCAGTGGTGTCATCTCCTGGCTTGGCCTCATCCAGCCCATGTTCCCGGGATGGCGCAGCCTCCTCCTTCCTCCTTCAGGCTCCTCCTTCTTCAGGCTTTCCAGGCAGTTCCCATTCAAGAACATGAGTGATGGTGGCTCTGGGGGTGACAAGAAACGCACCGAGTCGGATGGGCATTGCTGGTGAGGGAGGACTGTCTGCCTCACCCCACCTGGGTGGGCACAAGTCGTATGGAACTGTGTCCACGTGCCCTCCCGAGCCTTGGCTCCACAGTCCCAGCTCACCCTCAGTGCACCTGCAGGCTGCTGCCTTCTCCCTTTCACATCCTGTGCCTCCCTCCTCGACTGCTCCTCCGCCCACCACAGTGTGGCTTCCACCTGAGCTCACTGTCCAAACCACTTGCCCCATATCACCAAGGCCACCTTCAGGGCCAAGCCCCAGGGGCTTCTCCAGCCCAGGTGCATCGATCCACTCAGCAGCACCCAGACCACTTCTCATTTCCTCTCCTCCTCCCTGACCAATGCCATACCCTCGTCCCTCCCTCTCCAGCTCCATCCTCTTCCTCCAGTCCTGAGCTGGGAGTGTTGGACCCCCGAGCCTCTCCTCATTCTTACTTCACCCTCTCCCATGACTTCAAAGGAGCTCCCATTTCCCAGCTCTCATAGCCAATCCTGGCCTCGATCAGGCCTTTCAGACCAAGGAGACAGCTGTCTCCCGGGCATTAACATGTGGCTCTCCCTTCAGTATCATGGAAGGCCCATCCTGCAGGGATGAAATTCATCTTCCTCCACAAACTGATCTCTGCTCTGCGAAGGACCCCACCACTTATCTAGTCACCCAACCTCAATCTCCCTTCTCCTATTTCAAGAATGCCACCTGGAACCCTTCTAAGAAGCACACTGCTCACAAAACCAAGCTGCTTTTTTTTTTTTAAACGGAGTCTTGCTCTGTCGCCTAGGCTGGAGTGTAGTGGTGCAATCTCGGCTCACTGAAACCTCCGCCTCCTGGGTTCAAGAGATTCTCCTGTCTCAGCCTTCCAAGTAGCTGGGATAGGTGCGTGCCACCACGCCTAGCTAATTTTTGTATTTTTAGTAGAGACAGGGTCATGTTGGCCAGGCTGGTCCTGAGCTCAGGTGATCCGCCTGCCTAGGCCTACCAAAGTGCTGGGATCACAGGCGTGAGGCACCACGCCCAGCTAAAATCAAGCTTCTTAAGCCAGTTCTCTCAGGCACCAGCCTAATGGCAACCGCAGCTCCTGCCAGCTCCTCCACTGAGGTCTACATTCCCCAAACTACAGAAGCCTGAGAATACCTGAAACCTGCCCTCCCACCTCTGTGCTTTTCTGTGCTGCCCCTGACATCTCAGTCTGTCCGGCAAATGCTGACTCATCCTTCAAGGCCTAAGTGAAAGTGTCTACAGGTAGACTATTGCTGCCCACCTGCTGACCATCCTCCTTCCCAGAGATCAGTGAATGAAGGATGTGGAGCCCCAGGAGGAGGGAACTACATCTTCTGATCTGTCCATAGCCTTGACCTCCAAAGTTTAGATGTGGATGGAGTAGAATAAAGGCAAACTTCTTTTTTTGCAATTTGGCCTTGACCCTAATTCAGTCAGGCTGCATCTGCTTGAAATCTACAATAAAGAGCAAATGGTTGATAACGTTGTGAATTGCAGAGGGGAAGCTGGCAGCTGAGAATCAGGGGAAGGAAGTGAAAATTTAGAATTTTACTGCAACCCTTAGAAGTATTAGGCTGGGAGAACAGGGTGGTGGATTTGAGACCCTGCTTGCCATACATTTGGAAAATGCAGGGAAAATCAGTCCCCCTGTGGAGTGTTAAAATAATTAAATGGGAGGCAATTGACTGAAGTGGTTGTAGGGCCCTGGGTTTCTACCTAAGAAAACCAAAACGTAACTCATGCATTTCTTAGAAATAATTTAAAGGAAAACAAAACAGTCTTAACGAACCACAAACCACCGATTAACCTTTGATTACATAATCAGGGAATTTCCGCCTGGACAGTTCAAATAAGGGGACTACATAACTGTAGCCAATCAATTACTGAATTGGCTTTGCCTCCTCATGCACCTTATAAAACCCTTTCGTTCAAGCCCCTCCGGTGGACCCCAAACCACAATCCATGGTTGTGGCTTCCTGATTCACGAGTCGTTATTTGCTCAAATAAAATATTTAACGTTTTAACCAACCCTCAGTTTAATTTTTAACTAAAGAAAGGACTACGGACCCCACGGACCACAGCTCCTCCCACGCCCGAACCCTGAGCCGGGGTTCTCCCGTAAGGCCCCTCCCGTCATCACCGCACAACGCCGGGAGACACGCGGCTGCCGGCGCGGAACTGTCCAGAGAGGGCTCAGGGCAGGGCCAAGGTCGCCGCGCAGGGACGGGACGAGACGAGACGCTCGGGGTTCCAGCTGCCGGCCGAGCTGCACCGTGCGACCGAGGAGACTCCGGACCCCGACTCCGGAGCCGCCAAGGGGAGGCCTGGGTTCCAGCCGACCCCTGCCGCGTCTCGGGAAGCTAGGCAGACTCACCATCTCGCGGCTTCAGGAGCGTCCCGGTATCCTCTCTAGGGACCTTCCAGTACCTGCAGGTCACAGGGCAAAGGAGGCTGCGGAATGAAGGAGAAAGAGCAGAAACACAGATCAAGCAGGGAAGCGCACCTGGGAGAGGAAAAAGCCAGCCCAGAACTCAAGAAGTGCGCCCCCTTTTTCGGTTGCCCCGCTGATTGGACAGGCTCAACAATGACGCCGCTGATTGGATAGGGCTCCAGGTCCCGCCCCCTTACCCCCTGAGTGACAGGAGATGCGACCATAGGTGCGGCTGAATGAGGCCTGAATGAATGATTGTCTGCAGCCCTTTTCAGGCAGGGCTGACTCCCTGTGCTGGGACCTGGGGCCGCCCTGGACGTTGGCATTTAACTTTGCTCTTAAGGTTATATCAATTTATGAGTAATATATGTAATATGTAAAATTGAAGATTATATAATAACGATTCTTTTAAAATTTCAGATTTCATAACCTTTATGGCCTCTGGTCCCTTGAGGAGGCAGCATGAGATTTGAAAATGGAGGGAGTCCTCTAAGTCGGAAATGTCCAATAGGAATAAAATTGAGCCGCATGTGTCATTTACAGTAGTCTAGTGGCATCATGAAAGGAAAACAGGTGAAATTAATGGTAATACCTTAACCTGATGTATCCAAAATATTATCACTCATATATGTGAGCAATATGAAATTATTAATGAAGACAATCAGAAAATGCTTCTTAAATTTGGGGTACTAAATCTTGTAAAGTCACTCTGTATTTAAACTTCTAGCACATCTCAGTTTCAACCAGCCCCATGCAAAGAGCTCAGCAGGCCCACGTAGGCAGTGGCTTCAGCACTGAAGAGCAGCTCTGAGGGCACTTGCGCGTCTAACCTCTGGGAAGTCGAGGTTCTGGACCCCCTTTCCTGCCAGATGAGAGCGAACGCCCTCATCCTGCCCATCTCTTTCCTCACGCCCAAAGGTGGGAGAAGCAGTACCCAGTGACAGAGCCAGGGCTGCAGGCAAGAGGTGTCCACAGGTGGACCACTGCTGCCCACCTGCTTCTGGGCAGGGCTCCCTCACCCTTCCAAAGGTCAGACAGTGAACCAAGAGCGTCGGGCTTCAGGAGGAAACCCCGGACTTCAGATCTGTCAACAGCTTCTTGACCTCCAAAGTTTGGATGTGGAGGGAATAAAGGCAAACTTTTTATTTTGCAATTTGCCCTTGGCCCTGATGATTAGGCTATGGCCGGCTATGAGCGTGGGGACTGTGTGAGTTTAAGCACCAAGCATGTCAACATGCATTTCTATGTAATTTATCCCTATCCAACAAGAGGCCCCCCTTTAAATAAAGGGAAAAGCAAATCAATACCTTACACAGTGCCTTCTGTTTGCCAGGTAACAACAAGTAGTAACCAACCTGTCATTTGAATCCTGGCATCCTGACTGCATGGGTGTATGTATCAGTTAGCTAATGCTGCATAATAAACCACCCTAAACCTTATTAGCTCATAATTGGGATGGTCAGTCATTTAGGATGGACTCAACTGGGCCATTTTTCTGGTCTCAGCTGGGCTCCTTCAGGCATGTGTGGTCAGCTGCTGGTTGACTAAGGGGCTCTGCTTCTGGGTGTGGGCTGGCTGTCAGCTGGGGCACCTTGGTTTTCCTCCCCAATGGGATCTCATCCTCCAGCAGGCTAACGTGTGCTTGTTGTCATGGAGATGGCAGGGTTATAAAAGAAAAAGTAGAAGCATTCAAGGCTTTTTGTCCCTAGACCGCAAACTTTCACACTGCCATATTCATAGCTTTCTATTGCCCAGAGTAAATAATGCCAGCCCACATCCAAGCATCAGGAAACAGATTCTGCCTGTCTGTTGGAGCAGCTATAAAAGCATATTCCAAAGGGCCTGGAAACGAGAGGGGATGCAGAATTGCTGCAATTTTGGCAATCAGTATCATTCTGCCTCTTCTTACAACAAGGTTTACATAACTGTTCCAAGTCAAGGAACTTATCCAAAGCGCTACAGCTATTAAGTGGCTGGACTGGGACTCAGGATCAACTTTGCCTGACTCCAAAGCCCATGTACCTCCATAGACCTTACAACTCAAGCAGCTTCCCTAGGCCTTTGAGATCCTGGAGACTGACTCTTCTGCAATAGAATAAAGGTTCTTTTGAGATGCTCATCCTTCTAGTAGGATTCTTCACAATTAGGAGTAATCCCCACCAGAGAATGCTTCTGAAATGTCTTGGAAACATTTAGATTAACTTGGGGAAATGGCTGATGGCTGAGTTTTAAAAATCAAGGCATAACTTTTTCATTTAAATTAATTTGGGAAAATAGCTGACTGCTGAGTTTAAAAAATCAAGGCATAACTTTTTAATTTATCATAGGAGAGATCTGAAAACCCATATAATACCGGAACATGTGTGCAAATTTTTTTTATCCCCATTCAGTATTTGTAGGCTGTTTATGATTTTTAGCACAAACTAAATCAAACTACTGTGCCTGAAACAACCTTTTACTCTGAAAGCAAGAGACACAAAGGTAGATCTGCCGAGAAGACATTTTCTCCTGCCTCAATTTAGCCAAACAGCTGAATACGTATTAAAGTCAGCCTTCGATTTCTAACAAGTCAAGCTGTTTGCCAAGACTTCAATCAGATCATATGAGTGCTTCAGCTACTTCATCATCCTAGGACCAGACAGATCGAAGCTCTAGGGGTGGAGTGGTGAGAGGACCTGCACTAGCAGGTAGGCAACCATAGGTCCATAGGTGAGAGTCATCCATTAAGTGGGGTGTTTTGGGGTCCTGACATTTATGACACAATTAACTTCTATATTACTAAATGTAAAGCATAGAACATTACAAATAAAAAATCTACATATAAACTGAACATGTCAGCAATTACTATTATTGTTATTCATCATTATTCTAAGTGTGATCATTATTATCACAAGTAGAAATAGTGGTTGTGATTGTTGTTGCTGCTGCTGCTGTTGCTGTAGGGATTGTGATAAAAACACCAAGTAAGGCTCTGCTGCCTCCTCCACCTGTGGCATCGGGCTCTGCTGGGTCACTAGTTTGGTGCACCCTCTGGACCTCTTTCGTGAAGCTACAGCTGAAGAGCCTTCAGGCTCTGCTATGGCAGAGAAAGAGCCCCAGTTAAGGCTGAGAGCAGAATCCTATGAATTTGAAGGTGGCAGGTAGGATGGTCCCAGAGTGCAGTTGATGGTGAAGAGGTTAGTGAATGAGTGGAAGCCTTTGGTGAAAGGCAGAGTTTGTCCATGACCCAGATCAGATTGGACTTTGGGGCCAATCAGTGAAACAGACACATCTGCAGAACTGGAAATGGAGGACAAAGATTCAGTCGATGTGTTCCAGAAGCAGACGGGAGTGTCTACTGAGAACACACTCACTGTTTTACCCCAGAACTCTGTTCCTACACACCAAGCAGACATTCTCATGTGGAAAACTGCAATATGGTTCCACCACGTCTGACTGGTCCAGTATCCGTTTCTCTATTCTTCACTTTCTCCTTCCTCATTCCTTTACTGTACATAAATTACCAAGTGCAGCTGCACAAGCATATGGATGATTTTGTTTGCTTGCTTGTTTGATTGTACCGAATCACCAGCAATTTGTGTTGAGTGATTTCCAGTGGAAACAAGGCGAGGGAAAACACTGATTCTGGAAAAAGACTCCCTTTCTCCACCAGGGGATGCTCACTTACCTCTTATCTCTATGTTCCAGGACTTCAACAACAGAACAAACATGATGATCCTTAACGCTTGTGCAGGGAGAAGAAAAAAACATAATAATCTTTGCATATATTGTTTGATTGGATAATTTTGTTTTTGAAATATTCCATTGTGAAACTAAGGACAATTTCATAACTTTTAAATGTAGCTGTTACACATAGGGCAAATCTGTCCTTACACAGGACTAAGTGACACTTACAAGAACAGAATGAATCCCAGATATGTTCCTCTTGAAATCTGGCATCTGGTTGTTTAAACATACATCTTGTGTAAAATATGTATATTTAAAAATGTATATAAATAGAAACATGAAGTTTCTCCAGCCACCAAGTAGGTTGGTTGGACTCAAAATGAGGTAGAAGGAGTTTCCATCTGCAATACATTTGAAGTCCTCCCAGGAACCAGGGAACTGTCCACACCCTCTGAGGCTACCCCCTCCTCTTCTGCCTGGGGCTGGGTGCCTGTAAGATTCCCACGTCCTGGCCCAGGAGGTATATGGAGGGTGGGAGGTTGTCTGTCTCACACCCACGCAGATATCCCTAGCGCAGGACTCTCTGGAAGGTATTCCCAGAGTCCCCATAAGCTGCCAGGCTGACACCCTTCCAGAAAAGTTATACAGGTGAATTGCTCTTGGGACTCATTCCATGGGTGATACCAAGCCACACTGCACACTGGGTAGAGGGCAACACATCTAATGCAACTGCAAACTACAGTAAAGCTGGGTGTGTGTGTGTGTGTGTGTGTGTGTGTGTGTGTGTGTCAGAGTCTCCCTCTGCTGCCCAGACTGGAGTGCAGTGGTGTGATCTCAGCTCACTCCAACCTCCACCTCCCAGGTTTAAGCGATTTTCCTGCCTCAACCTCCCAAATAGCTGGGATTACAGGTGCCCACCATGATGTCCAGCTAATTTTTGTATTTTTAGTAGAGACAGGATTTCACCATGTTGGCCAGGCTGGTGTTGAACTCCTGACCTCAGGTGATCCACCAACCTTGGCCTCCCAAAGTGCTGGGATTACAGGCATGAGCTACTGTGCCCGGCCCAAACTACAGTAAAGCTCTATCTGCTGACAAAATCCGAGAGCCAGGAAATGGAACGTCCTCTTTATTCTTCGAAGGAAACAAGAACAGGCTAGAAGTGGTTGGCACATATGTTCATGACTGCCACTGTCTGGGAGAGCTGAGAAGTGCATGAGCTCAGAAAAGGACTGTGCCACATGACAAGCTGGAGAGGTGGGACAGGGGAAGACTATAAACAAAATGTGTAAAGTAAAATGGAAGTTCCACTCGTGGAAACATGGAACATTCTTTCTTCACGGTGAAGAAAACAGAAAGAAAAAAGAAACCTGAAAACTGGCTTTAAGAAGAAAAAAATCTCCAACCAAACCCTAATTATGCTGTGGACGGCAT